AAAAATGAATAATTAGAGTTAGAAGTAATTTATAAAAAATCCAATATAATTACTTTATTTTCATTCATCAATAAATATTTTAAAGACAAATTAAAAAAAATCAAATTATGTATCAAATCAAGTATTAATTTTAGCTTCAAATTAAATTAATCATTAAAAGATTTGCAAATTTCTAAAAAATATTAGAGAGAAATAAGGAAATGCAGTCGAAGCTTATGTAATTTATAAAAATACTTCCGTTAGCAATCAACTAAACTAGAGCTATAAAACGTAAATATTTTTTTTTCAACGCTTGACTTTCTAATTATTGATTGGCTTATCTAATATTAAAACATTTTTTTACCTTAATCAAATGTAAACTAAAAGAATTTCATCTACAAACGTAATCTGTAAATTTGTATATTTAATAAGCTTTCGCCTTTATCATATAACAAATTAACTACTGCGTATTAGATTTCATTGTATGATTGAATTAATTTGAAATCATTCCTTTGTTCGTACGTAATAATGACTAATTTAATATTTGATTCACAGGTGTGAGTCGCACGCAGAATTTATGTTAATAATAATATATAGAAAAAAAAAGTAGGTAAGTGTTTCGATAAATATTAGAGCAGACATCATAAAAGGTAATTGTTAGGTGGGCGTCAACCCATTTCCCTAGTTCATCCAAAATAGATTTAGAATCTCTGTTAAAAAAAAACACAAATTAGTTGGGTTTGTTCTAACGGTTCAACAACTCGCATAAATAAACAATGATGTCAATTAATTTTTTGTAATAAGAAAATTGAGTTAAAAATTAGAATTTTACACTTAACAAAATAATTATATTATAATATAAGTTGGAAAACAATTTATAAAAATGCATGCTTCTTGTTTAACTTTTTTTATAAACTATTAGATATTTTAACTTGATTATTACAGAAACCTTGAAAACACAAATATATTTAAATATTTTTATGATTGTGTTAATATCAAGATTATATATGTAAAAATATTTACTGATTAAGAAGCAGTAACAAAATTGTATTTAGACATAGCGAAATATGTTTTAATTCCTGACTTGACAATACTAACTATAGAATAGAACATCTGAATCAGTATTTCCCAACGTGTGGCCCATTCGAAAACTCATGACACGTCTAGAGTTTAATCGTATTATGTATATTACAGAAGAGGCATAAGAATTTCAGAATTTGATGGGAATAGCATAAAAAAGGTTGGTTCCTTGAATTATCTAGTTCAATATTACATAATTTTTATAAAATCTTTTTTTTTATTTATCAAAGCTTAAGAACAATTTATTGGTATACTATTAATCACATTTGAGGCTTTTGACGACAATAGTTGAATAGTCTTTAATCACAAGATTCTTAATTTATTCGTATCTTATTTTTTCTATAAACAAATATAGTAAATATTATCAGTCCATTTTAAATGAAAATAGCATTTAATTTTATATACTGTTCAGATACTGCTACAACTTTGTTTTTTCATAGATGTACCAAGTTCCTTAATCCATTCGTATTTTATTGTTGTTTGTAGTTATAACACATTTCATTCTTTAAAAAACATATTTAATCTATTCTACTTATTAAAATTCTAAATTTCAAATTAGTTGATTTACTGTACTAAGTGAATAATTGAGTATAGATTATAAAAATATGTCTGAAGGGCTAATATCTTATTTATTAAGAGTAACAATTAGGAAAATGTAAGAATTGTAATAATCTTAGTCTATATCAGTGTTTTTTTAACCTATGGTCCGCGAATCTATGCCGATTCGCAGATATTTACGTATATGGTATTATATTAAGTAAATACAAGTATACCTCGCATAGTGCGGATTCGATCAGTCCGGATTCCAGTTTCAAAACAAACTACATTTTAATTCTGAAAAATTAGTACACAAAATTATTTAATATCTTATTTATTAAGAGTAACAATTAGGAAAATGTAAGAATTGTAATAATCTTAGTCTACATCAGTGTTTTTTAACCTATGTTCCGCGAATCTATGCCGATCCGCAGATATTTACGTATATGGTATTATATTAAGTAAATACAAGTATACCTCGCATAGAGCGGCTTCGATCAGTCCGGATTCCAGTTTCAAAACAAACTAAATTTTAATTCTGAAAAATTAGTACACAAAATTATTTATAATGAATGATCGTTTTCTTCCTTATAAAGTCAAATCTCTTTTTGTACAGTTATTTTTTATGCGTTAAAAGTTCTCGTTTAGTCCGTTTTCAAACAGTCCGCGATAATAGCGCAACCGATTATCCGCACTATACAAATAAAAATTGCAAGAAGTAGACTTCAATGTAGACGATGCACCATGGCCTGTTTAAAATTCTAATAAATCGTCGATAAGAGGTAAAGTTCACGGTGGTAGAAGATGCGATGAAAATGATTCGGAAAGAAAGGTCAGTGAGTCGAAGGTGTCGAGCGGCAAAGAATATTATTACATGAAGTGCATTTGTTCTGGTATTGAGGTTGCCAGTTGCGAACGATTCCAGTCAACATTATCTCGGTGATCAGTATGCAAACTCGGCACCGCGAAATGCGTGAATCATTGTTTAGAAAACGTCTCAAGAATTCCCCATTGTCTCGGCCGTCACATTATTGTTAAAACTGGATCGAAAACCCGACGAAATTGTCCCAATGAAACGAAACGCACGAAGGCGATTGTTCATGAAAGGAACATTGAAATCTTTGAAATGAAAATTTAGCGCAGTAGGGTACGAAATTTTTTATTTTGGACATATTACAATTCACATGTTGTATTCATCAATCGCATTGGTAATAATAGAAGGAGAGTGAGACATGTAATTTGTACTTTTTTGGTATTCTCTGACACTTTTCGACCATCCAAAAACAGATCTGACTGAATATAATTATTCATTTTTGTCGTTCGCTTTGAATTCATCATGAGATTGACCCACACACATGTTTTGTCCTCTAAGTGAGAAAACAATAAACGCATTGTACATGAAGACTCAAGGGCAGCACTCGACCAAAATAATACATCAATCGAATTTTAAATAATCGCCCGTACCGATACGGAAGCGGGATTATGGCATCAAACGATTTCGAAGAAAACGATTTGTGGGGCTTTTCAATTAGATGCGAGACAAACAACAGCACATTAATGATTCGATTTGCAAGTAATTTGTAGTACTATTCATTATTTATTTTGCAACGTCCTGGAATCGACAAATAAGTGGAAATATGGACGCAGCGAGTGGTAAATTATTGTGAAGCGCAAGGATTATAATTGTCCTCTCATTCCGTACTTGTACTCCACTCATATTAAAGCCGACACGGGACACCAACGAGGCACATGAATAATAGTTTGCAACGCGGAGAGGATTATAAAAATATATTTATCGGAAAATTAATAGGGAATCTGGTGAATATGCAACGTGGAGGTCGTCCAGATAGTTACTTCCAAGGACGAGATCTTGATAACTAAATTCTCGTTGTTTACGTTTCAAAGTTCACGGTAAATCGCGCTATTATATAGATCATTTCTCATAAACACTATTTCTTTAATATCCTGCAACAAATTTTTATAATCACATAAATCATTTTATGCAAATTACATAAATAATCAATAGCAAAGATATGTATCTCTTTCAAAGAATACCTTGAATTATCTAGTTCAATATTACGTAATTTTTATAAAATCTTTTTTTTTTATTTATTAAAGAGTAATAACATGTTATTGCTATATCATCAAGTACATTTGAGGCTTTTGACGATAATATGAGAAAACTTGACTTAAACCCTTAAAAGAGTGCTAATTTTATAGGAAATTTTAACACATGCTCACATTTATTACGACTATACATTTTAATTCATATAGTCATTTCATACTACTTTATTACTCTACAATGTAAGTAAAGGTCTTATTAAATAAACGACATTAATAAAAGTTCAAGTTTGAAGTTTAAAAAACTTAGATCAAAATTACAAAAAAAAGTGATTTAAAGAACACTCGTGTAAACAATATTGCAAAAACAAAAAAAGTTATTAAAGAACTGATTTATTGATAACAAAAGTTATTTAAAATAACAATATAAATTATTGTATACAGAAATTATACTAAGATTTCATTAAAAAAATCATGAAACCAAATGTATTTGTTTCCAAATATTACAAATAACCCTGTCAGTTACTTTGGTAATAAATATACTATGAAAATGAAAAAAAAAATAACCAAGAACTGCATAAAAATAAACAGCACAAAAAGAGATTTTACTGCATAGAGAACACATATTTATTTTGCTCAATTAGTATTTCCTTTGTTTTTAAATTTTCAAACCGTACTGATTAGTGAAAATCTGCACTGATAGAAGTTACACTATGCGAGGAATTGTATTATATGAATCTTTAAAAAATTTAGAAAAAAAATGTTATTATATAAATAGCCACCTCAATTTTAGGTATATTTCTTTATGTAAACAGATCTGAAAAATATAACATTTCAAATTAAACAAACTTGGCCTTTATGTGAACATAATTTAATTTATAAGACTATTGCAGTATGTAATTATAATGATATGAGACAAGTGATGAGAGCATAAGTCCTAGATTATGTAATGCCAATAAATGTTTATAGGGAAAAGGACCTCGATGATTTTCATTGTCAATGGTAATGACTCATTGAGTCGTTTAATCCAGTAACGATAATTGTTCGAATAAAATCGCCACAAGGAAGGAAAACACGTCCATAAGAAGTAGTGTTTCATCATCGTTGTGTGCTTTTCATTTGCAATTGGATGCGATAATATTTCCAAGATGAATCAACAACATAAACGCACGGAAGGCGTGTGTGTGTTTTGTTGTGTGCGGTGAAGGTGATTAGATGCGTTGCATATTGAATCGTTCGTTAATCTAATAACCTACACCTCGCAATGAATGACATCAGAATGCGAATAATACAGAGCGGGGAAGTTGCCCACTCTTACTCCGATGCCCCTGCATACTTACATACCTACCAGAGCACAAGGCTCACTACCAAGACCAAGCAAGAGACAGCAGTGGCCGTGCGGAAACCGTCTGTGCAGGATAACCGATAGATCCAGCCATCCACTTTTTTGATGCAAACGCACAACTCCCGTGATCTTCGTGTATAATTTTTTTTTTACGAAATCATTTTTTGTTGTTCATCTGATTTCATCTGAATTGCGAGAATTTAATTGAACACCAACACGACATGGGGATACGACTTTTGGCCACATTCACATTGGTTTGTAAACATTTAAAACAACATTAGTTAATGAAAACAAATTAACCTAACTAATTTATTTTACACATTCTTTGTTTATTTAACTCCATTAACTAAATCAATAATTCCAATTTAAAATTAGTTCAAATTGTATTATTTCCTGATTATTTTCCAATTATTCTTTCTTTAATTAATTATTCAACTTATACATTAACTTAACATTTATTTGATGTATATTCCAATAAAACATTAAAATTGAACAATATACAAAATCTGTGGGAAGCGTCATATTTAAAGAAATCATTTACAATAAAAACGTATATGTGATGTAAACAAATTCTTTTAAGAGAAATATTTTCTTTTTCGAAAGATCAACAGGCTAACTTATCTAATATAAAAAAATACAAATATTTTACAAACTACATAAATATCAAATTATATAAATGGTCAATAAACCCAGTGAGAAAAAAAATACATGCCTTTATATTAATTTAAATATATAAAAGTAACTCAATTTATTTGCTTTAAATTATTATTATTCCATAGTATTTCTGGAATATAGAAAAAAATCTTACATTATTATATAATTTACTTCAAATATAATTATAACATATAATTATTAGACTACAAAAACTATAATTAGTTATTCCAAATAATTATAATATTGTAACAATTCAAAAAAATAATTTAATTTTTCCATACAATAATAATAATAATGAAACCAAAAGTCATTTGCTGCAAAAAGGGCTATTGACCATAGGTCTTTGTTCCCTAGTTAATACATGTTTAATTATTTTTTTTTATATTTGAAAACTAAATTATTTGTATTTTTATTTCAAATTATCAGCAACATCACTTTTATAACTTTTGGCATATCAAGTATGCGAAGGATCTTTAGAATAACATGTTTTTCTACAGTGATAAAAAATATGATACTCGCGCATTACTTGACAAGTTATTTGTCAAATAAAACATAATATGTATATAAGTTTATTATATCTTAATTCATAAGTTATAATATTTCCTTTTGCAATATATTTTTTAAATTACCATAATTATCACAAAATTATCTAAATTCGTATTGTAAAAAAGAGATTTCATTTAAATGACTTATTTCCACTAATTTAGAATTTTGATTAATTAGTTACAAATTAAATGATCAAGGTTATTACAAAAATATATGCTACATATCAAAATTGTCAAAATTGTTTAATTGAAGAAAAAAAATATGAATATTTTATTTATATCCAGTAAAAATAATTAATTGAATTCCATGATTTAGTATTGTTTTAACTCGAGGTAATTAGTTGCAAATTAATTGATCAAGGTTATTGTAAAAAAAAATGCTGTAAAACATTTGCAAATCAATTGCTTGTTGCCATCTTTCAAATCACATTACAGAAAAACAATAACAAACGTGCACTGGATTATAGACGAACAAATTGCTACGGTGATCTAGTTAATTGAATAGCACGCATCTCGATCAAGGATACAGCCTCCATTCATAATCTGTTCATATAGTAAACAACTGATTTACATCTAAATGCAATGAATTATTTCCGCCTTTTTTTTAATAAATTAACATTAGTCGAGTTATTAGCTAATTAATTAACAGATTTTCTCAAAAGTTGTAAATTGTACAAAGAAAGAAATAAGATGACCTAATTAAAAACACTTACAGTTTTTAGTAAAATTGTAATTCCAATTACGACAGATAATTTAATTTCACTGCAAAAAATGTGTTTTCGTATACGTCTGTTATTCGTAAACAAAATAAGAAAGAGAAATAATGTAATTTACGCAAATAGAATAAGTTGAAAATTGCAAATGAAAACCACAAGATAAATCGATATTCTTTACTCCGAAAATTGTTGCACGGTTTGTTTATTTTTGTTTTGGTTCGTATTATTACATAGTTGGGTAAATAATTCCATTTGTATTCAGCTCGTGATGAATGGAGAGCGAATGCAGCAGGTATGTGCAACGTTTGAGATGATCGTTTTAATTCGTGCGCGTCTGTTCAAAATTCACGGCGTTGAACCATTTGGAATGGTCCCAAATGGCCCTTCACGTGTACGTAATTGCGCACAGACTTCGGATTAGAAACTGTGTCAAACGCTTTCCGTTGCTTTTTATTTTCGAACGAAACAGGAGATCCCAAAAATGGAGAGATTACGTAGTCCGAAAAAGAAAGAAACATCATTCCCTATGCTCACTTTTGGTAACATCAAATGCAATACTTGCTACACTTTTGTTCACTTCTTCAATTGCATAAGTTCAATTACTCACGTAAAATGAATGTGAAAATCATACTTGAAAATTACAGATGTTCCAAAATTAATTATTTAAATTTAAAGAAGAAACAGTTTGAAACCGGACTAATCGAAGACTTTAAAACCATATAAACTACCAACAATGACACTTCACTGAGGATAAAAACGATAATTTGTGAATTCTAATTAATTTCGTGTTTTCAATTTACAATTTACTTTGTTAAGAAATGTTCATAATAGAGTGAATCTGGACTATTCGAAACCGGACTAATCGAAGGCTTTAAAACCGCTTATCAATAATTTACGTATACAAAATAATCGAGGTATTTAATTATATAACATTTTCAAAGATTTAGTTATCCAAAACTATTAATTTTTGTTGTTTAATTATGATAATTATTTGTTGACTAAACCTTTAATTATTTATTAATTTAGGAATTTTTGTACAGTAATCATTACAACTATACAAATCAATGTTTATTATTAGATTTTTAGATAATGTATTGTATAGATATACATTTCTTTACAATGAGTCAATTATTGAATAAAAATCGAAAGTATCTCTGACCGCAGTAACCCACTTAATGCTTATATAACCACCGTCTGCCTGAGATCACTTGTCCTTAAACCAGTATCACGAAGACACCATTAAAACGAACACCATTTCCTATTCATTTCCATCGCATAATCAATTCAGAAACGAACGAAAGTTATTAAATAAAACGAATAAATTCCAAATTAAATTATCAAAACTATACGCAAATTTCTTATAAACACCCACAAATTTGTTGTAACAACATTAACAATTTGGCAAAAAAACATGCTTTCTCCGGACGTTACCATAATTATACAATATCCTTAACGAGGGAAAGAAATCATCTTTCCATTAATGAAATTATGTAAATTCTCTAATGTCTCTTTAGGAAATTGTGATTTATCGATGGTGGCATTAATAAATATCAACGACCTCATTGCATCTCGAATAATGAACTCATTTATTCATTTTCTATAGGATATTCGATTGCGTGTGAATTCTTAAATAGTATTTATAGGATGTTGGTATTCCGCAATTAATCCAATCAATTGGCGTGCTAGAAATATTTTCGTGTTACCAAAAATTTCACTTTCAAACGTTATCTTAAATATAATTTGTATTTATATTTTTTTATTGTTCAGAACTATGAAATAATAGAAATACTCCCACTTGAAATATTGTTCATTCGTTTTGGAACTTTCTCCCAGATAATAATTCTATTTAGAAACATGAAAACATCATTAACTGTTTGAGATGTAATCGATCCAACGATTTTTTTTCGTTTTATATTTTAATGTGCAACAACGTTTAATTTTTAACGTAAACATAAATGCTGATAATTAGTTTTTTGTAAAATTTTCTTGTTTAAAAAAAATCGTGATTGGAATATTTTAAAGAAGTTTAATTAAAGTTTTATTAATTAAATAGATTTCAGTTAAATTCTGTATAATTTATAATATAATAATTATTAATAGTTCACACTGATAGTTTAAAAAGTTAACAAGATTCGTCGATGTTTGTTTAAATATCAGTAATGGGTTTTGCCAATATCCCGGACTGTTTGAAACCGGACTAATTGAAGAATTAAATGAAATAGAAATAAACCATCTTGACTATTTTTATTTTTAAATTTAAATGTTAATTCGGACTGATCGAGGCCACAGGTATTGCTTGTACTTGGATTAACATCTCAAAAGTAATAAAAATTTTCTCTTCAAATCACAATAAACTCGAATCAAAAACCATTTGGTTAATGATCAATTAAAACGAAAACCTTCTAACACATATAGATGGGAAGTCTATTATAATAATTATTTATAGTAAATTATGATTATAGTAATCTTTAACTATATGGAAGATATATTTAAATCATTAATAAGAATTACAAGATTATTTAAAAACTCTTGAACGTTGAAATAATTACATGAAAATGTGCAACAATACAAACAAAAACTTAATAGTTTGTATATTTACATGGTAAATTAAGAAAAGAAACTTTCTTCCGTTTATTTAAAAAACGAAGCAACAACAAAGTAATTACTTGTAAATTAAGCACGTGAAGTAATTTGATTAATGTGATTATGTAATAAATAAAAAATATATATTTTTTACAATTATTATATTAACATAATACAGTGAAACCTCGCTTAACGAACTTAATCCGTTCCAAAATTTCCGGATTTTTACTCGTATAGTGAAATATATTCAAAAATACACATAATATGTGTACAAGTTTTAAAAATGATGTAGAAGGCGCGCAATCCGGGACTTCTCATCGTCACTCGTTATGCAAAACGTAGCTCGTTAAGCGAGTCATTTTTCTTATAATTAATTTTGCTCGTTATGCGAGATGCTCTAATTTGAAAGTTAAGCAATATCGATAATAGAAAATACTTGAATTGGTTTTCGATTCTCTTAACATTACCATTCCTGTAATTAACAAGACATGGATATAATCTATATGAATTTGTGATCATTGGTTAAACGAAAGAGAAACCTATTAACATTAGTATATGTAACTAATTGTAAGTGAATATTTTATTAGGAATTAGCTGTAAACCGAACTTGGAAATAGAAAATTGCATTAAATTTCGCTTTCGTTTTTGTGACCAAACTAATATTGTTATTGTCCATTTATTTATGCTACGTATTGTGTCATCGTGTATTTCACATCCAGTTATTTTTAATTTGCGCATTTTGTATGTCGTGGCATT